GCGTGGCAGGTTGGATCGGTGAGACTGCGGCGGCGGGGGCGGGTCAATCCGCGGCGGCGCGGGATGGGCTCCTCTGGCAGGACGCCGGCACGATGGCAGGCAGAGGTCGGCGGCTCCTGGCGGCGCGGTGAGGGAGGTGGGGCGCGGGTGGCTCGCGGCGGCAGGCTGGCGTGGCCGGCGGGGTCGACGAGTCAGCGGCGGGTTGACCCGCGGCGGGACGGGACGGGACTTCTCTGGCAGGACGCCGGCTCCTAGGCGATGCGGTGGGGGAGGTGGGGCTCGGTGGCTCGGGCCCAGGGCGAGCTCCTTTGGGCGGCGGCGGATCCGTCCTAGAGAGAGAGAGAAGGAGAGAGAGAAACCTGACAAGGGGGGCCCACCGTTGACCACTGCCACATCAGCAGCGGGTGGAGACAAACCAGCCAGGGTTTTTTTTGTCCGGTTTTGATTTGTTTGGAGAGTGGAAGAAGCCGAAAATAAGATCAGGGGGTAAAGTGAACCACCCACTTTATGCAGGATAGTAAAATGGACCTTTTTTTATTTTCTTAGATTCGGCCGCAAGCTGCTCGACCATGTTGCAGATTGTGATGGCTATTTATGCTTTCTTCCTGCATAGGTTTCTTGCTGCTCACGTGAACAGATAAGCATCTCATCTCTAAAATTTGTTATTGAACAGATAAGCATCTCATCTCATCTCATCTCTATTTGTTTCAGTGCTTCCCTAAATTCCATGAAATGCAGTCGTCTACAACCAAGGACTACACCAGGTAGTATGTGAAAGTGAAACAACTATTTTGTCTTCCTTTTTGTCTCTACACAGGATGGATATACTGGTATCATACGCATGCAGGTCATCGATGAAATGGTGACAGATCCTTGCCCCATCTCGACATTTCCAAATGACGCGCACCACTAAGAGCTTGCCTGATTGAAAGTAGCAATTTACCACAGCCCATGCGAGCACTCACGCATCCCTGCGAGTTTTTTAGAACTTTCTTTTGCTCACTACGTGACCAGGCAAGCATGCTAGCAGATTCCGATAATGTCACGCACACTAATCTTTGTTTGTTTGATTATTTGAGTTTTGGTGAAGCTAGACATCGCGAGTTGGAATGGTGCCATTTTTGTTGTGTTTTTCCTCCTTCGCAGATTTAGTCCAGTATTAGCTTCAGCGCTTCACCATTGTTATTCAGAAGCTCAGCTCTAGGGATTTAGAGACAACAACATTTAGTGGTTCATATGCAGGTCTTAGTTAGTGCTCCGATTCAGTCATTGGCGGTGGAGTTCATTCTTTCTTATGTATTGTATTATTATCAGCAACATTCTATTGAAGATATGTTCTGAATCTTCACTTAATCTATGTGAACATCTTGCTAGATCACATGGGCACATAGCCAAAAGAGCTTTGTCTTACCTATTTTTTGCTTATTCTTTATATAGCAACATGGTTGTCGCAAATGGTTCCGCAGCAACGCGCGGGGCATCTTCTAGTTCTGGTGATGGCCGAGCCAATAGCACGAAAGTGGCTGTTCTCCATGTTCGAATCATTGTCGCTTGCACGGCTCACACAACTTGTTGTTACCCTTTGGGCTATCTGGTCTACACGAAGGAAGCTCCTACATGAAGGAGAACACCAAAGCCCTCTACGAACGCACTTGTTCATCAAAAGGTTCATTTTGAGGAATTACAGATGATACAAAAAGCACCTAAAGCTTAGGCTCAGGTACACCCAATTGCTATTACTGCCACCCCTAGATGATGGATCCTCCCCGAGCGAGGATCTTTCAAGATCAATGTGGATGGAGTTGTATCTAGATATGGTATGAGAGGATCATTTAGCGTGGTTGCTCGGAGTGAGACTGGTGATTATATGGGTTCCTCGACAGTGATGATCGAAGGTCTAAATGATCCTGAAATACTTGAGACACCGGTATGCCGAGAAGGTCTCGCTCGCTGCAGACGTGAAACTTTCCAAAGACCGAAGTGAAGCTCGCCTCAGATGGCAAGACGATGATTACTGATCGGACCAAGGTTTCTGCAGGGAACAATTCGACCATCATTCAGGAGATTAAATAGAGGGCTCTAGCTTTTGATTCTTGCCTCTTTGTTTATGAAGGGCGCCTCTCTAATTTTGAACTCTGCCGTTATCACAAGGCGTCATGTTTGGTTTATAAATCCACATGACCATAATATAATTTCTTTACATCTTTCTATAGAGCAATAATGTCAGTGTGTTTCCCCTAAAAAATTATATATATATCACTCAAAGTGCCCTGAAAAAATTATATCACTACAAAACTCCCATTAATTTGCCTTTGTTTCTCTTTTTTTTTACCACTGCACCTCGTGACACCCTCGCTGTCCGTTGGCTCAAGGGCCATGCGCACCTCCAGAGGATCGTGGCCACTGGTGTCGGTGCTAGCATAGGTCGGACCGAGACGTTAACCAGCCGACGACTCATTCTTTGGCTGGCATAGAGCAAGAGGAGATGATGAGGAAGAAGAGAGGGAAAGAATAAGTGGGGCTGACAGGTGGGACCCTTGTCCACCCTAAGCATATTGTCCACCTAGGTATGCCATGTCACCCTTGTATGTAGGCCCGAGTGGTCAAATTCTCTATTAAAATGCTAAACACAGTGTTATGTGTTCAACCCGTGCAGCAATCGTCATGGTTTTTTGTGATTTTCGTCAAAGATGATTGTTCCTTTGATATCTGCCTAGCCCAATATGTGGTGGTCTTTTGTAATTTACCCCTCTATGTTGCCAAAGTCGCGAGAGCTCTTAAAATCGACAGGCTATTTGCTGCCAGTCGCTAATAAGGCAACCCCTTTGTCTTCTTCGTAGTTCTTGGAGTCCATGAGGTTTCGAACCAGCTCTATCTTTTCACGGATTGGCCACCACCTTCTTCACCACTTCAAAATCCAGTCTCTTGTCATCGTCCATAGCATCAATGTCTGACTTAAAAAAAAGCATCAATGTCGATCGTTGAGGACAGCGCTTCTCCTGTTCTATATCATCAATGGTTGCGCCGATGAGGATGAGCGGGTAGCCGTGAGATTCGCCCATGGCCTTGCATCCACGATCCTACGGCATGTTCAGGCTGATGAGATCCTATGGGCCGCGTGACATTCCACAATAGTCAGTTCGACGATGGCGGGCTAATGCCCGACAAGCTCTACAACAGCGTCGGTGGTCAACTGTGGGGATGAGCACCAACGAGCCGCCGCCGCCGTGCACGTGGTGGACTATACGGGCACCGAGCACCCGAGAACAGCTTTCGGTCGTGTGAATAGTGTCAGCCCATCCACGGATCACACGGCCCGTGGGCCTAGATCTTCTGGCTCAGGTTACAGCGCATGTTTCTCTAGGATTTGTATTAAGAAACTTCTGCACAATTGCCACTCTTACCTGACGCATTCACCTGAGCCTACTGGCAAACTGCTTTTGGTTCATCCTCTCTACCAGTACAATCAAATTGGAACTAAAACCACCACAAAATTTACTGGCTTCAACGAAGCTTCGGTTTCTTTTACTGTTACACCAGAGGTAGCTACACATCCCTAACTGAAACCGAATCTGCAATGCTGAACAGTAAGACACTTCTCCAGAAATACCACTACTAACAGCTGAAGCAGTACTAAATCTGCTGTTCAACATACAAAAGCAAGCAGTTGAAGCACACAAGACACCAACACAAACAGACCAGGCAAGAGAGGTACTCGGCATACATGTCTTCTAGACGACGAAACAGAGGAATTAATTGGTCGCTAACAGAGTGGCACTACTGATGCCTTATTGATTCACATACTAGTAAAAATGAACACGGTTACAACTTACTACTGACGAAATGTGCAGCACTGTGCTCTTCATTGATGGCGCCCTTAGTCACAAGCCATCCAAAAGCTTCCTCGTATCCCTTCACGTGGCATTCCTGTTTCAGAGAAACAGAGGAAGTATCCAGATGGAGGTTATTGAGCATCAGAATAAATTCAGTTATCCACTTTAAGCATCAAAAATATCAGATGAGCTAACAAGACACGTGGCTAGTCCAACAATAGTTAAATGTTTAGTGCGTGTTTCCAAAGGCTACAGCGATAAAGATTAAATGCCTTCGTATTCATATCCCAGTCACACGTATTTCCATTTTATAGTTTGTATTCCAACAAACCAAAACTCTGGTTACAGGAGGAGAAATTCCACACAAACATAAACTAGCCACTGTTAGCTTGGACTAGCAATGTCATATAAAAGGGAAAAATATTACTACGATTTATCTGGATCACAAATCATGAATAAGCTCAAGAGCAACGACGTAAAAAACTACCACTTGCGTTTGAGAAAAAGAACATACGATCCACTAGGAAACATTCGAGGGTAAAAAACAAGCATTAGCAATCTCATACATAGCTTGAGCTTCACAGTTGAGAAGTAGGCTGTACAAAAGTACACCATGATTATATTAAGAAAATGGGAAGCTAAAATTCCAGGCTTGATTGGTCTGCCTATTTTTGTGCAAGAAAACATAATGGTCAACACTATAACAGATAACAAGGTTAGGCATCTTTCAGCTCTTCATCCTCTTATACATGATGTTTTATACTACTTTTGCAGGTCCAATTTGCAATTCTGCACTGATAGTTCAGTAAAGTGTAAGACTACAAATTGCTATTATGTTCATGAAGATTGACTTCTGGATACAGCACAAGGTTGAACAAAAGTAATTATTCCATTGAGTGGTCTGCCATTGTCTCATACACGAGGAAGGATCGAGTCCGGAATGATGATATACGAGATAGAGTTGGGGTAGCACCAATTGAGGAGAAGCTTGTCCAACATCGTCTGAGATGGTTTGGGCATATTCAGCGCAGGCCTCCAGAAGCTCCAGTGCATAGCGGACGGCTAAAGCGTGCGGAGAATGTCAAGAGAGGGCGGGGTAGATCGAATTTGACATGGAAGGAGTCCGTTAAGAGAGACCTGAAGGATTGGAGTATCACCAAAGAGCTAGCTATGGACAGGGGTGCGTGGAAGCTTGCTATCCATGTGTCAGAGCCATGAGTTGGTTGCGAGATCTTATGGGTTTCACCTCTAGCCTACCCCAACTTGTTTGGGACTAAAGGCTTTGTTGTTGTTATTGTTTGGTCTGCCATTGTCTGATACTAGTACTTCAGTACACGTCTAGCAAACGACAAGAACCATCGACACTATCATGTGTAATTTTGCAACTAATATTGAGCCCATAGAAATATCACTGCGACAGACTGACAGTATACGTGCGATAGTTGGATTCGGATATATGTAGCCGTCCGAGTAGCACCAGGGAAGTAAATGTCAATCACGGATCCACCATGGTAGCATATCTAAAGGGGGACTTCTGTAATCTTTTAGTGATTAGGAACCAAACCTGCATCCCCCCTTAACTCCTACTTCTCTTTTTTCGCTTACCTATCCACAACATCATTTGCAACGAACCCATTACACACCAAAAACCACACGCAAGGGTACCCTACTATGACCACAAGTAGACACCTTGCAATATTCCTCGGCACACAAGTGATTTCAAATCATCTTACATCAATCATTCACTAATGCCGCCTCAAGTATTATTAGATGTCCCAGTAAGTCAATACAGAGGTGATTTCAAATCATCTTACGTCAAGCATTCACTAATCTTGCTTAATTAGTATTGTCAAAAAGGCAAGGAAACAATACAGAAGTGATTTCAAATTATCTCACGACTAGTATTGTTTGATCTAAAGAATCAATCACATATGTAACAGCACTCCATGGCTATACTAAACAGTGAGATGCACAATGCACATTGCAAAACTATGTAAACTCTACAAGTACACTATACAGATCACCAAAAGGTTAAAAGGCAAACCTTGCAGGACGGAGAGTAGGGAAAATGGGAGGCCAGGTCATCATTAAAGGATAGATATTACCCAAACATTTCTCCTCTGTTGTCATCTCGTACACTTTACACAGCCTCCTGCGCCTGACATCCAAGTAGAGTTCGGATCGACCCATCTCCAAGAATACAAACCCATTATAGTCCCCCACATGGTTTATCTGGATATCAGCAGTAGGCTCATCCTCAAGCAAACCAGCACATGTTTCGCTCAAGCAAATGGTGTCCACCAGCAACCAATTATCCCCATTGTGGAGCCAGATATGAAGTTGAAGCTCCTTGATATGGATGAGATATACACCAGAACCATCATCGACCCACGACAACATGGTGGTGCCTAGGTCAAAACCCACCCCGTGTGGGAGCTGAATTGTCGATAAGATTGAGGATGTCAAATCTAGGACAACAATTGCATTGTCAGTCGCGAAATACATTTTGTTGTCAACAAGTACGCCTTTCGGCCTAGATTGTGGATGCAGGAGGCGGTCTGACCCCAAGGTGAGATGTTTGTGCCAGGCATCATCACCAGTTTGCAACATATACACGTTCACCTTAGGTTCCATGGTATCCTCCACGGTGACCTAAAAGTAGGACGAGCCATCCCCTTCTTCTTTGGAGAAGAGTTGTGCCCAATTGTACAAACAGGGCATTGTGAACTGTAATCCTGGGAGGATGGCCATACCATGGTCATTGTCATAGCACAGTGGGCTGTGCACTGCAAATACAAGCTCGTAGGCGAGGACGCTGTTGGTGAGGCTGAGGACGTTGAAGTTTATGCGGCGGGTGAGGACGCTGCCGTTCGAGCAGCCCACCATGGTACCTCCTTTTTTGGAGAAGTTTGTGCGGCGGATGACCGCAGCGAGCTCCGGGGGCTGAGGCAGCATCGGGAAGAAACGTGCGGCGTTGTACGGATAGCTTTGTGCAAGGTAGAAGCCGAGGAGTCTTGGCGGGTGGAGCTCGCGGAAACGGCGGAGGAATGCGCGGTCGGAGGCGTGGCTGAGCCAGCGCCGGCAGACGCAGGCGGCGCGGACGAGGCTGCTGGGGAAGCCGACGCGGACGATGATCTCTCTGAGGAGGTTGTCGTCGTCGAGCACCTTGGATACACACGCCGGCAGCGGCCGCGCCTGGCCTTGCATCCTCTCCGGCGGCGGCTGCGTCTCGCCCTCCATTCCGTGGGTTCAGGGTTTGGGTAGAAATGGGGTCGAGGCAGGTCGAATAAGATCCAGATTGCTTTCCCTTGCTGGGCTCCTAGCCGTGGCCCATCCAAGTCCAGCCCGAACTAAAAACGAGGGCTCATCAAGCCCATAATCTCTACTTCTAATGTACGACTTGGTGAATAGTCTGCGCGGTTTTTTTCGCTGGTTTTTTTTCGTCATCTTCCCATCTCCGTTTTATTTTCGTCATCCTCCCACCACTTTCGTCTGGGTTTTTTCGTCCCCCCTCCCACCACCCCATCGGTTTATTTTTTCACTATTTCCTTCTAAACAAACACTTTCCTACCGTACAAAAAGACACAGATCTAACTTTACTAAATTACCCAAATCAAATGATCTATCTCATCAATGCAATTTGCTTTAGGAAACATATAATGGATGTGAAGGAAACAAATAATAGACTATCCAAATCAATCGATCCATCCCATCAATGCAATTTGATTTAGGAAACATATAATAAATTTTAAGGAAACAAATAACAGACTTTAAAGAAAAATCCAATTTTAAGGAAACAAATCAATCGATCCATCCAAATCAAACGATCCATCTCATCAATGCAATTTGCTTTAGGAAACATATAATGGATGTGAAGAAAACAAATAATAGACTATCCAAATCAATCGATCCATCCCATCAATGCAATTTGATTTAGGAAACATATAATAAATTTTAAGGAAACAAATAACAGACTTTAAAGAAAAATTCAATTAACTAATCTCTACTCTTAAAGGCCCCTCGATTGATTTTTGTCCCTCGCTTCCTTTCCCAGCACTGATACAATGGAAGGAATTATAATCCACCTATTTGTTTTCCTATATATCCGTGCAGGCAACACAATATAAATCGGTGAAAAAAACACTCACCTCGCACGTCCCCCTGCCTGCAATCTTGAAACGCCGCCATCGCTCCAGGCTCCAGCCTCCGCCGTCCTACATCTTGCCCCTCTCCAACCTCAGAGACCTCCGCCACCGCCGCCATCTCGGAACCCCAGTTAAGGGCAGGACTCAGGGAGGGTGTGGCTGTGGACGACGCTGCCGCCATCGCAGAACCCTAGGGCAGGGCGTGGTCCCGTTGCGGGCAGCGCGAGCGGCCATGCGTCTCCCCCGTCAGGCTGTCCTCGGCAGGAACTTGGGACCTCCTCCTGACAGAGCCAAGGCCCTCCGAGGTCCAAGTCGCTGTGCGGCGTGCACAGTAATCTCCCCGGCCTACTCTGTCTTCACATCAATGCTCCTGTGCTCCGACCCTCCCCGACCCCTCCCAGCAAGCAGCAGAGTATCTCGGGTTCGAGCTCCACCGGGCTGCCGCCAGCGGCGTCCATGTTCGTTGGGCGGAGCACAACGCTAGGTTTGAAATCCACCATGATGCTACTGATGAGGCTCTCCTTCTCCTTTGTTTCGTCTGGGTTTTTTCGTCCCCCCTCCCACCACCCCATCTCGTCTGGGTTTGAAATCAATAAGAGCAGCGCAAAGTCTAGGTTCCTGTCTCGGTGGCAGACGGAAGGAGGACAAGGATTGATATGTATGAGAATATTAATATTGAACTCTTAAAGTTAATGTGGCCCCGTTGCAACGCACGGGCGTTCTTCTAGTCTCTACTCCTAATGGAGCAGTTGGTGAATAGTCCACGTGGTTTATTTTCGTTGGTTTATTTCGTCATCCTTCCATCTCTGGTTTTTTTTGCGTCATCCTCCCACCCCACCCCATCCCACGCACCCACCCAAAAAACCCGCGCCCAACAAAAAAAACTTCATCGATCATATAAAAAATAAATCACAATCAATCAAGTATTGATGATCAGATTAGTTATCATATAAAAAATAAATCGCAATCAATCAAATATTGATGAGATATTTCCTTATATTGATGGGATATTTCCTTCTATTGATGTGATTTTTTCTTTCTTATCATCAATCATCTCTACTGCCTAAAAAATGCGTAGCTTTCCTTTTCCTGCCAATCCATCAGATTAGTTACCATATAAAAAATAAATCGCAATCAATCAAGTATTGATGATCAGATTAGTTACCATATAAAAAATAAATCACAATCAATCAAATATTGATGGGATATTTCCTTATATTGATGTGATTTTCCCTTTCTTATCATCAATCATCTCTACTGCCTAAAAAAATGCGTAGCTTTCCTTTTCCTGCCAACCCATCAGATTAGTTACGATATAAAAAATAAATCGCAATCAATCAAGTATTGATGATCAGATTAGTTACCATATAAAAAATAAATCGCAATCAATCAAATATTAATGGGATATTTCCTTATATTGATGTGATTTTTTCTTTCTTATCATCAATCATCTCTACTGCCTAAAAAAATGCGCAGCTTTCCTTTTCCTGCCAACCCATCAGATTAGTTACCGTATAAAAAATAAATCGCAATCAATCAAGTATTGATGATCAGATTAGTTACCATATAAAAAATAAATCGCAATCAATCAAATATTGATGGGATATTTCTTTATATTGATGTGATTTTGGTGCCGTCCTCCCGCCGCCGTCCTCCCGCTCGCTCGCCGCCGTCACCACCAATCCCGGCGAAGGCGTCGTTGCTGCTATGTCGCCTCCTTTCCCCATCCAAGCCCGACCATGGCAACGGCGCCCTCTCATGTGTCCCGCGGTGAGGTTTGGGGAGGCGCGACCACAATCCAGTAGGGATCGCAACGCGGACCCGTCCACTGGGATGGGTGTTGCCTCCGTTGCGAATGTGATCGAAGGGAGGGACTACTTCGTCGTCAAGGTCGGCGAGGCAGCGGCCGATTGGGAGCCCGGTTGTGAACATGGGAGTTCGTCCCCATGGAGGCGGCGGCCGTGGAGATTGGATGTGAAGCAACCCCACTTGCCGATGGTGGAGGCTTGCCGTCCATGTGATCCTTTCTTCTCCCGGTATCCCCATTCCTTGCCTCCCATTACAAAAGCAAGCATAAATGAGAGCAGGGGCTGATTTTCATCACTTCATTTCTCATATTTTTAGTTGCTTTTTTGAGATTATACAAGATGCACCCGATCTATTTTGTCAAATTACTTGGATCGTTTTATGGAATTGATAGCCATCGTATTTTTCACCTCATGTTATTTCTTAACCCTTGTCCCACTAGGCATCCACTACATGTTTGGTAATGACGTGATGTTGAGGCGGCTAGGAGAAGCGGGAGAGGGGGAGAGAGAGTGAGGGAGAGGGAGGGAGAGTGTTGAGGATTTGATGGTAAAAAGGTCGCCAATGTTGTAATATTGAACTTTTTAAGTTAATGTGGCCCCGTTGCAACGCACGGGCGTTCTTCTAGTAGGAGTAATAAAGCAAACGACCGGTTCTCGTTTCCTTGTAGATGCACACATTTTGATTTAAAAATTCGGTTACAATCAGTCACAAGGGTTCTAATGATGAACCCTGAACTTTCATCAGTTCACCACTCGGTGCTTGTAGGACTAGTAACGTGCTTAGCACATAAATCAGTCGGAGTGTTGGCTTGCCTCATCAAAAAAAGGAGCCACAATGAACGATCATTGTGCCGCGAAGACCAGAGGTTGACAACCTCTACACAATCCTTTTCATTATACCCCCCTCAGTTGGGCGAATACTACACCTCATCGCAAAGCTAGTACTTCTGTTATCAACGTACCGGTGACTTCTGGAAAAGGTTTACTTCAGGCTCCTTGGAAAGAAAGGTGCGGTCTGGTTATACCTCCTCTACCTCCATTCTGAGAATGGAATCAATGGCACCGTTAGTATTGATCTTTACCCAACCTGGATCAGATGGTTTCCAGCACTGTCCTTCATGCACATGTTGTCTGTCTAAAGGCTTGTCCAGTACCGACAGATCATCTCTTACCCTCTTGACCGCATGAACCGGATCAAAAGGCTCTTATTCATGTGTCCATATGTTGCGAGCTGTCTAGATAGTATGCATCACCGTCACTGTTCAAGATATCTTCCGATATTCCGATAAATCGCCCGATTTATCGCTTACCGGTGTCTAACTGATAAGATAAATCAGCCGATATGGCGATAAATGGGACGATATGCCGATAAACTGGCCGATTTACCGCTTATCATGGGTCGATCGATAAGTTCCCGATAAGCGATATCCCCAACATTATTCACCGTAATGATTTTGCATCTATCCTTAACAGCAAACCTTTGATCAAGCACAATATCCCAAGTCCATGTATCCAGGTGGAGGCGAGGTAGCTGACATCCACAACCTCTCTTGTCACCATCCAATAGGGTGTGTTTGGTAGGGTGCATGAGCTTAAAAGAGAACCCACTTTTGACTGTTTGGCAGGGTGTATGGACTCACCTCGACTATGCCCATCTCATGTAAAAAAAATCTCTTCGCCC